CATCATTAGTCATCAAAGAAATGCAAATTAAAGCTACAATGAGGTGCCATCTACACCCACCAGACTGACTAAAATTAAAAAGACTGAAAATAACAGGTATTGGTGAGAATGTGGGAGAACTGACTCCTCATACATTGCTGGTGGGAATAGAAAATGTTAGACTACAGAACACAGTGTGGCAATTTTTTTTTTCAGATGAGTCTTACTCTGTTGCCCAGGCTGGAGTGCAATGGTGCAATCTCAACTCACTGTAGTTTCTGCTTTCTGGGTTCAAGTGATTTTCTTGCTTCAGCCTCCTGAGTAGCTGGGATTACAGGCACGTGCCACCATGCCTGGCAAATTTTTGTGTTTTTAGTAGAGACAGGGTTTTACTGTTGGTCAGGCTGGTCTTGAACTCTTGACTTCATGATCCACCCGCCTTGGCCTCCCAAAGTGCTGGGATTTCAGGCCTGAGTTATTGTGGCTGGCCTTTTTTTTTTTTTTAAGTTAACATGCATCTACATGATCCAGACACTCTGCTCTATACGTGTTTTTTTTTTTTTTTTTTTTTTTTTTTTTTTTTTTTTTTAGAAGTGTGGAATTCTTTTTTGAGGAAATGATAGGAGGAGTAGTTTTAGTGAGGGGGAATTGGAAAGGGAAGATCAGGAACAAGTTTGGGCCATGTTGATTTGCCTTTTGGACATCCAAATAAAGATATCCACTAGGCAATTGGATATATATGAGTTTGTTTTCCAGACTCATATGTGTCTAATTGCGACTGTACCCCAGTTGGGACTGCAAGCCCTCGAAGCCAACATGGCCAGCATTCCAGCTCTGCAAAGTAACCTGAAGCCACCATGCCTGCCACAAACAGCAGCTCTACTTATTTATTAATTTATGTAATCTGGCAATGTAAATTTGGAAATCATCACTATATAGATGCTATTAAAGCTGGTAAATTCTTTGTCTAACTAACTCTGCATTGGGTTTCTGTTGTTTACAACCAAGAGGGGGATTCCCTGTCTTTCCAAGCCATTGAAATCCTTTCCTGTGAAGCTCAGCCTCTTCTAATCCGTGAACAAATTAATCTGAATTCACATCTTATCCCCTTTCTTCCTCCCCACTTCTTATTTTTTTTCATGAAAGAAAGAAAGAGAAAGAGAAAAGGGGGAGAGAGAGCAGGAGTCTTGCTCTATTGCCCAGGCTGAAATGCAATCTAAAAGTAGGTATTAAAAACCTCTTTTATGCCAATAATTGTGCTTAACAGCGGAGACAGGAAGGAATAAGGAAAGAAAATAACAAACAGCCAACCAATATTTCATTTAAATCTGAAATGCTATGCAAATGCTGAAGAGTGATTTGCTTCCATTTATGTGGTCACTTTCAAAATAGGTGTAATGTGATACTAAAAAAATGTATGTTCTGTGGACCTGGGGTGAAGAATTCTATAAATATTCACTGAGTTTACTTGTTCCAGGTCTGAGTTCAAATCATAAATGTCCCTGTTAATTTTCTATCTCATTGATCCATTGAATATTAACAATGTGGTGTCAAAGTCTCCTGCTATTATTGTGCGGGAGTCCAAGTCTCTTTATAAGTCATTAAGAACTTGTCTTATGTAACTGGGTGCCCCTATATTGGGTGCATATATATTTATGATCACTGACTCCTGTTGTTGCATTGATCCTTTTACCATTATGTAATGTCCTTCTTTGTTTCTTTTAGTCTTTGTTACTATTAAAGTCTATTTTGTCAGAGATGAAAGTTACAACTCCTATTTTTTTTTCTGTGTATTTGATTGGTGAGTCTTCCACCAACCTTTTGTTTTGAGTCTTTATGTGTCCTTGCTTATGAGATGGATCTGGATACAATGTACCGATGGGTTTTGACTTTTTTTCAGTTTGCGTGTCTGTGTCTTTGATTGGGGCATTAAATCCATTTAAATTTAGGATTAATATTGATATTTGTGAGTTTAATATTGTCATTTAATGCTAGCTGGCTATTTTGCCCATTAGTTGATATAGATTCTTCATTATGGAGATACTCTTTACCTTTTGGTAAGTTTTTGGGATGACTGATACTGGTTGTTCCTTTCTGTGTGTAGTGCTTCCTTCAGAAACTCTTGTAAAGCGGCCTGGTGGTGATGAAATCTCTGAGTGCTTGCTTGTTTGTGAAAAATTTTATTTTTCCTTCATTTATAAAGCTTAGTTTGGCTGGATATGAGATTCTGGGTTGAAAATTCCTTTCTTTGAGGATATTGAATATTGATCCCCACTGTTTTCTAGTTTCTAGGGTTTCTGCTGAGAGATCTGCCATGAGTCTGATAGGCTTCCCTTTATGGGTAACCTTACCTTTCTCTCTAGCTGCCCTTAGAATTTTCTCCTTTATTTCAACCCTGGTGAATCTAACAATTCTGTGTCTTGGGGTTGCTCTACTTGAGGAATATCTTTGTGGTGTTCTCTGTATTACCTGGAGTTGAGTATTGTCCTGCCTTACTAGGTTAGGAAAGTTTTCCTGAATAATATCCTGAAGAATATTTTCCAGCTTGGATTCATTCTCTTCATGACATTCAGGTACACTTATCAAATGTAAATTAGGTCTTTTCACACAGTCCCATATTTCTTGGAGACTTTGCTCATTCCTTTTTACTTTTTCTTCTCTAATCTTGTCTTCTTGTTTCATTTCATTAAGTTGGTCTTCGACCTCTAATATCCTTTCGTCTGCTTGATCAATTCAACTGTTAAAACCTGTGCATACTTCGCAGAGTTCTCGTATTATATTCTTCAGTTCCATTAATTCACTTATATTCCTCTCTAGATTGTCTATTCTCGTTAGGATTTCTTCAAACCTTTTTTCAAGGTTCTTAGTTTCTTTACATTGGGCTAGAACATGTTCTTTTAACTCACAGAAGTTTCTTATTATCCACCTTCGGAAGCCTAATTCTGTCATTGGAACTCACTTGTTCTCCATCAGGCCTTGTTCCCTTGTTGATGAGGAACTGTGATCCTCTATAGAGGGAGAGGCATTCTGATTTTGAGTATTCTCAGCCTTTTTATGCTGGTTTCTCCCCGTCATTGTAAATTTATCCACCTGTCATCTTTGTAATTACTGACCTTCAAATTAGGTCTCGAGTGGACGTCCAACTTGTTGATTCCCAGCACCGAAATCTGACCAACCCACTGCGCCGGGTAAAACAGTGGTATCAAGATTCTTGGTGCTTTTCTGGCCAGGAGTCTCTGGTCTGACTTCCTTCTTGAGTCCCTTTTTCAATCAGCTGAATGGGTGATTCTGCCTTCCCAGAGCTCCAAACGTCAACCAAAAGGGGACCCAGTCCCGTTTACTTTGCACTGAGAACTGCCACTCTGGGGTGCCGGCAAAACCACCATGCTGGCCACAAGAATCGCGCTGGCGACCCATGGGGCTCCTCTGCTGGGAATCTCCTGGTCCATGAGCAACAAAAATTCGTCTGAAAGTGTGGTGTTCTCTCGTTCTCTGCACTTTCACTGGGAGCTACAAGCCTGAGCTGCTAGTGATCGGCCATCTTCGAAGTGTGGAATTTAATTGGAGAATCTGTACATGTTTACCCAAGACTCTATGCCTGACTGTGGCACTCAGCTCTTCTGCTAAAAAGATTTTCAGAATAGGTGCTGAGTGTCCACCACTCCCTGCTGGGATTGGATTTAGGCTCTGGAAAGGCTGCTGGGATTATAGATCTCTGCACCTTCTGTATGTCCCACAGACCAAGTGCAGTCCTCAGCAGGTAGATCAGCTAGACTACCTCTTGCTAGGGAACTGGTGTCCTCCTCTGGGTGTGCTCGGGCCTGAATGTGCCTGCCACCAACTGGCAGAGTGTCAGCATTGACTCCAACTCAGGGGAGGAGATGAGCATATCATCTCTCCAGGTCCTGCTGGGGTCATATCCTATTCCTCATTTTACAGAGGCGAACATGGAGGCTTAGAGACATGCACTCACTCTTTCAAGGCCACATAGCTGGTGAGGGACCCAGTGGAGAGAGATGTGAACTCTGACTTGCCTGACTCTCAAGTCTGGGCACGCACACTGCCACTTCCCCTTCCTTTAATCCATTCAACTCCTGTGTCTCAGTTTTCTCATCTGTAAAATGGGGATAAAAATGATACTTGCCTCACGGGTTTGTTATGAAGATGAAATACATGAATGCACAGAGCAGTGCCTGGTACATAGAAATGTCTCAATCAATATGACACTTATTCATTAAGTTTACATAATAAATAATATCATTATGCTGCTTTCAATCTTTCCTCCTATGGGACTAACTGGCTTTTCCCCCTTAATCATCTCTGTGTCCTTCTCTGGACTTTGTCCTTGAAAGGGATCCTGTGCCATTGAGAACAGGGTGGGTATTTGTTTCCTTGCCTGTGCAGGTTAGACTCTTCCAAGGACGGACATCTGAGAAACCAACAACTGGAAACCTCCAATCATTTAATTGACGAATCTACCAGTGTGAAAAGGTCTTTAAATGCCCTTTTAATTGTGTAAAAGGAGTTTGATCTCATTTCATAGAAGCCACTTCTATTTCTCTTTTCTTTCTAGAACTTCTTCCAAGAGCAATTTGCGGTGATCAGGGACAATTTGAAGAATGTGGCAAACTTGAGAAGGGGAGTCCTGCCCCACTCTGGGGCTGCCCTTCTCCAGCTTGCTCTCTCTTCTGGAAGCAGGCAGAAGTTCCCAAGTTGCAAAGATTAGCTGGTCGCACGGCGTTCACCCTGCATAATGGATGGCAGGGACGAATCAAGTCTGTGGTCAAGGGACCTCCATTCTTGGGGCAGCCCCTGTGGGACTGGGTCCCTGTTGTCAGGGAAAGAGTTGGGCTCTGAGGTCACTCTGCAAGCTGACCTCTTTTTCATGCTGGCCCCATGTCAGGGTCAGTGTGGACACCCAGACACATCTTATTTCCTCAAAGCACAGCTCCTGGCCCCTCATTCAGAGCCTGGCGATAGGTATTTCATCACAGTCCAAATGGCTTTTCTACCTTCTCTAGGCTCACAGCTGCTAGAGGCATCAGACAGAAGTGGGAGAGATGCCGAGGGAGGCAGATTCCGAGGGAGTAAATTGGAAGGACGGATGCGCTGGGAGTGAGGAGGGATCTGGACAACCACGAGCAGACGGAGGAGCATTTGGTGAGTGGCCATGTGTCTTTCAAACCATATTGTGTTTATAAAGGCAGTTTACAAAACACACAGTATGTGATGGGGTTAATTTGTTCTTTCAACCAGTGCTTACTGAGTACCTACTATGTGCCAGGCTCCATGCCAGTGCTGAGATTCACTGAGAAGGGAGACTCAGTCCCTGCCCTCTGTTTGGGGAGGGGGCACAGGTCAAGAAAAGACCCCATTGCCATCCCACAATGCAGGATGTGCCATCATGGTGGAGACCTGGTGGGGGTGTCTGTGTGATGAACGCTGACTCTGTTCCAGGCCTGCGGTCAGATCTTCTAATGTCCTAGTGAGTTTGGGAATCATCCTAGTTTAACAGGCAAAGTGACCAAGGCTCAGATGGGGCGAGACTTGTCTGATGTCCTGGACCCAGGTTTTTTGAGTTCTCAACCTGAGCTCTGGCCTTAGCATCACGTGGCCTCGGGGTCTCACAGGACAATCGCAGCCACAGCTTCAACCCATCCTCTTTCCCAGGCCACCCTGCCAACTTTCCCATACTGACATTAATTACACTTCCTGGAGGTTAATTTGTAAGGAGGCAGTAAAAATGTGTTGTTTAAATAGCGATTATTAAAATCATCCTGGGGTTCTGCTACATAATAGGTAATTATCTGCCACATAATTGGCAAAACAATGCAGTCAGTTCCATTTAGCTGTTTCCAGAGAACACGAGTTAATCCTGGGGAGGGCACGGCATACTCTGCGGCATTTGTGATATTTACTCAATCATACTCTTATTACATCTGCACTGAAGTCACTTTAGGCACCTTCACTGGAAGGAGAACATGCTGATTTGCTAAGAGCTGGGTCCCAGAGGTCTGAGTGGAGACACTTTCCTCCGAGGTGGGAGTTTTCTGCTCTAGGAATGACATCCCCTCATGTCCAGCAGGAACGCATCGAACCATGTGTCCACGTAAGCATTATGCATTTGCACAATTACTCTTTCGCTTATTGTTTTTTAATACCCATTCATTTGCCTCTTTGACTGGTATTTGTCATTCATTCGTTGCTTCTTTCATTTGTTTTACTCATGCAGTCATCACATGTTAATGCATCCCTCGATCCGAACCTTGGTTTGTTTCTGCTTCTGTTGATGGTTCTTTCATTTGTCACTGCACTCATTTGTTGATTCATGATTCCTCAGTCCATTCATTTGTTCAACGCTCCATGCGGTTGCCAATTTGTTCATTCATTTATCATTCAACAATGAATGATTTGTTCATATATAGTGTGTTGGGTGTGTCCGTCAGGTGGGATTGCAGCCAGGCCCATTGGCATATTCTGGGCATTTCACTCAAAAGGGCCCTGGGGCCTATCTTTTTTTAAAGAAAACCTTTTAGTGTAGCCTAATGTAACGTGAGACTCACACAGAAGGGAGAACACAAATGGTAAGCGTATGGCTAAAGAACTCTCTGAAACTAAATACACCTATGGGACCAGTGCAGATCAAGAAAGAGAATGTTACTAGGACTCCAGGAGCCCCTCACACCCCTGCTTGTCATTCTTTCTCCAGGTCGAGACAGATGAACAGCGTCCTGCCTTCCAACACCGCGTATCACCTGTGCCTGTTCCAGAACTTCATACAAATGCACTCACACCGTCTGGTGCTCCTACATGTCTCGTTTCCACTTTGTTCAATATCATGTGTGTGTTTCATCCAGGTTGGTGTGTTGAGTTGCACACTGTTGATTCTTATTGATGTGTGATGTTTGTATATTGTATGAATATGCAGCAATTTGTTTACCCATCTAACTCTAAATGAGATCTGAGTACTTTCCAGTCTGGGGCTGTTATGAACAGTGCAGCTATAAGGTTTTTGCAAGTGCTTTTGGTGAACATATGGGTGAATTTCTGTTGGGCAGATACTTAGGAATGGAATTTCTGAGTCATAAATTACACACAGGTTCAGCATCAAGAGAGACTCTGAACAGTTTTGCAAAGTGGTTCTTCCAATTTATGAGGCTTTGTCTACAGACTTGTCCCTGAGCCACCTGACCTCCCATGACCTTACCTGGTCCTTGGGTTGTCTCAGGTCCCCTGGGCCTGCTGCTCAGTTTTCCCTCCCAGTCTTTGTCCTTCCCTGGGTCTTTGGTGCAGGACTCTCTGTGCCTGGGTCCTGTTGTTGGCTCCTGGAGACACATTCTCAAGCCACTCTGAATGGCATCCTCTGGGCGTGGTATGACCTGGCTGCCTTCCCTGCACTGGGGCCTTCCTTGGTGGCACAGCCTCCCTCACATCCTGACCGGCCTCCTGGGGGTCCATGGGTCAGGTGCTCTACTGAGCATGGGGGGTCTTTGTTAAACCAACTGTGGGTCCTGCCCTTGTGGGGTTCATAGACAAGTGTGGAGATGGAGCCTGGGCCTTTCTTCCTATGCTCCAAAGGTGGACGGTTGAGTCTAAGAGGAAGAGAGGGACCAAAAACTTTATGTTGAGAGAACGCCAAACCTTGGTGTGTGATTTACTGGGAGGGGGAATGTCATGGAACAGAAAGTGCAAGAACTTCAGAGTCGATTGGTCCTGGGCTCAAGTTCCCGTTGCTCCATGCCCAGCTATGTGATGGAAGATGCTGGCACCAATCTTGGTGGCACTGACAGTGTGTCCAGGAGGTGCCCAGCAGGCTGTGGGCAATGCAGAGACTGAGGAATAGGGCCCTGGAGTTAGCACTGGCAGATCTGGCCTCACCTCTGGATGCTCCCTGGAGGCTGTCGCCAGCAGAAGCCCCCTCTCCCGCTGTTTTCTTCCTCTGACTCACAGTGTGACCTTCGGCACACTGCCCCCTCTCAGAGTCTCAGCTGTCACATTCATGAAATGGGGTTAATCCACCTCCTGGGACTATGAGGACTGAGACGGTGGAGGCGATGGTGTCTAAGCAACTCTGCGGCGTCATTCATCCGGGGCTGCCTTGGCATTCTCACCTCGGATGACGTTTCCTCTCCTGCTCTTTGCTCCTGCTCTTTCCTCCAGGATTATCCTTCCCTCCTCCTTCCCACACTGTGCTCGTTTGCCTTCTTTCATCCTAGTTTTACTTTCATTTATTATAATTTTATATTAGATGAATCATCAGAGACCAGCTGGCCCCTCATTTACACATTGGAGAAACTGAGGCACAAAGAGAGAAAGCAATGACCTCAAGATCACCCAGCCAGCTGCTGTTCAGCTCTTAGCTCCACACAGAAATTCCAGCCGCAGAAGGATGAACTTTGATGTGGTTGCCTACTCTCTACGCTCCAGGAAGATGTCCAACCTTGTCTAGGAATTTCCCTACTGACACTTGCAACAAGAGCAAAGCCCAACAAGTGTGAAGTCGGTCTTTGAAAAGCTCAAGGCTGACTTGCCCTGGAGCTGTATCTTCTCTTTAGATCCCAACAGTAGTTACATTTTCTGATCTAAAGTGGCTGTCAGTTTCATTCCAAGTAAGGTACACTTGATCTACTGCTTGTGTGAATATTGTTTGCTATTATACCTACTTTAAAAATACCATTGATGGCATGGTGGCACATGCCTGTAATCCCAGCTACTCAGGAGGCTGAGGCAGGAGAATTGCTTGAACCCAGGAGGCGGAGATTGCACTGAGCCGATATTGCGCCATTGCACTCCAGAGCAAGACTCTGTCTCAAAAAAAAAAAAAAAAAAAAAAAAAAATCCCATTGAAAAAGTTGATTACAGAAGAAGGGGTTTGATTTGGGAAAATTCAAGTGTGTGTGTGTGTGTGTGTACGTGCACGCAGGTGTGTGTATTTCCCAATATTTAATTTTTTTTCTTTCTCAGAACATGCCACTTTATATTTATTTAAGTTTTAAACCAAGAGCAAGTCATTTTTTTTAATTTTAAACTTTTCTTTATTTCTTTTTTTAAAAAATTATTTATTATACTTTACATTCTGGGCAACATGCACAGATTATGCAGCTTTGTTACAGCACCTGTTTGAAACATGAGTCAATTTTCCTAAAATCAGTATCACTCAACGATTTGCTTCTGGCTTGGACAGGAGAAGGCATTGAACCAACATGACCTGGAAGCTGTTTCTGGGAGGGAGGGCAGTGGGTGCTGGCTGGCATTGCTCATGGATGGCAGTGGCTGAGAGAGACCACGGTGAGAGAGATGTAGGAAAATGCATTGGCAAGGCACCTAAGAAAATTAGCCTTTGGGTCATCTGTGGCTCTTGGGGCAGGAGTCACTGAACTCTGGTTCACCCATCAGATGTGTCTGGGACCTTGAGCATCTTCTCTCTCTTGAGATCATATGACTCCTTGATTCACAGTAATGGTCATCATTGTTAAGTATCCTTTTTACTTATTTTAATAAATATCTATGAGTCCCCATTGGGTGCTGGGTGCTGGGGTGATAATGGTGAACCCCACAAATGACCAAGACGGGCCAGCCGGACCCCCTGCCCTGTCACTGCGGTTGCTGTCACTGTCACTGTCATCATGCGAAAGCTTGTCCACGCTCTCACTTTCCTGTTGCTTGGTTTCAGGACCCCTTCCCTGCCTCATCATCTGCTGGCCCTTCTTCTTTTGATATGCTTGGAGCTGGGTCTGGGGGTCTGGGGAGGGGAACAGGCACTTGGAGAACGTGTCACAGAGCCAGGTAGGGATCCTCTTCCTGTTTCTTCCTCTCAGAAATGACAATTAACTCAAATTAATTCTAGCTCAGCCCATACCTGAAGAAGAAAAATAAACTGGTTAGATTTGTTTTCTCAGTCAGCTTCTCAAGCCTGGTATTAATCTATTCATCATCTGAGCTCATCAGGAGCAAACATACTTCTTCAGGAGTTTTCTAACAGGAAACAAATGCCTCATTAAGTTAAACATATTAACCTGAGAACGGTCCTGATGTCAGACAGACTAATGAACGTCATTACAGGGAATGCGCAGCAGTCCTCAGAGGGCCCCACCCTCCATCAGGGCTCCTGCAGATTGGCTTAGCTACTGCAGGATGTGGGATCATCAGAGGCGGGAGGGGGATGGAAAAGGGGCTGTTGCTGGAGCTGTAGTCACAGTCAGCCTTGTGAGCGGTGCCTGATTAATTCTGGCATCTTCAAATGCCTGCGAAGGGCACAGGGCCAAAGGAGGGGCCCTATGTGCCTCACTGTTGGGTCTAAGGGGGTTGGGGCCAGAGGTTGCAGCCTCTGAAACAGGAGGAAGGGGAGGTGGGTTGAGTCGGGCATCAGAACCCCGGGTTCTGGTCCCAGGCCTTCTCCATATGGTGCAGGAGGCTCAGTTCCAGCCCCTCTCCAGCAGGCCAAGGTCTGCGCTGTGCACTTCCACAAGCGTCGAGCTCAGCTACCCTCGCAGAAACCCGGGCAGACAGCGGTTTATGGCGCAGGGTTGTGGATGAGGACACTGAGGCTCAGAGGAGTGAAGTGACTTGCCCGAAGGTCATCTGGCTTGTGGGAGGGAGAGAGACAGGCCCTGGCTGGCTGACCCGGTGCAGGTTCCCCCCCAACCGCCCCTCCTGCTGCTTCCCGGTGCTCTGTCTTCTACTCCCTCCCAAGCCCTCCTCCAGGACCCTGGAGCATCTTCATGGGGGCTGTGTGGGGAGGGGCTCTCTCCACCACCACACAGGAGCCAGGCTGAGGAGCCAGGGGCACCCTGACTTACATATGGCTCAGGAAGCCTACATCTCTGTTTTTCATCAACAAAATGGGGCTGAGTCTTGCCACCCCACAGGCTTGCCACCCCACAGGCTTGCCGTGAGGTTCACATGAGCCGATGAAGGCACAGTTCTCCACACAGCCGGTGCCTAGGACGTGCTGGTCTCCCCCACTCTGCGCTGTGTCCTGGCCCACCCAGCTCCAGGATGGCCACTGGGGAGAGGCTGAATGGGGCCAGGTGGAACATGGAGGAGTAGACCCCCTTCCTGAGATCTAGCCCAGCAGCCAGGCAGTCCCAGATTCCACAGTCCACTCTCATTCATTGAGAACTCAACCTGTTCCAGGCTCCATAGGGCATAGAGATGACCACGGCGTGAATTTCATATCCCAGTGGGGAAAATGCCCCTGGTGCACTGGAGAGAGTCATAGGATGGGAGCAGAGCCACAGAAAATGGCACAGAGAGAATCTGGATATGGTGTGAAGGAGGTTATGGGAACAAACCAGGCTCCTCCTGGGGACAGACACTGAGGACTCTTTGTAAAGGGCCAGAACTCAGGCCTTGCTAGAATGCATTTGTTTTCCCTGAACACTAAAAGCATCTGGAAAACGTCTGCTGCTGGCCCCTCTCCCTCCCTGATGTGGCTTTCAGGTAGCATGTGTCTCATTGGTGGAAGCCCTGAAGACACATGCCCTCTTTCCAGCCTTGCATGCAGACAGGCAGGCCCTGCCACCCTCTCTTGGTAGAAGCCGGAGGGGCCAGGCACAGCCCTGCGGTAACTCCTGGGATTCGGAGCTGGTGTTCCCACCTCACAGGGTGAGTCCAGCTGCTCATTTCTGAGTGTGGCTTCCCCTCACTGCTAGCACCTGCTCTTGTGTCAGGTGGGCACTGAGCCTTCTGGCTGAGCACGGAGGCTGCAATTTCATTGCAGGTTGGAGCACTTCACATGGAGAATGACACAAACTATGTGTAAAGTGCTACGTGGAATTCTGCTGCAGTTACTTACTGAATTCCCCTCTCTCCTGGAAGTTCTTTGGTGGCAGTCATACATCGCTTTTACTTACATCTTTTCCTCGAGCCTGACTCATGTAACGGCACACCTTAAACGTTTGTTGAGTGGTTGAAGAAGAGGCACTGAAAGCAGGAAATGGGTTCTAGCAACTCCATTAAAATTTCTCTAGGCACAGGAGAAACAACTGTGGAATTTTAGAAACAAAGATGGTAATAAAGAGAGAAGTGAGAAGAGTCAAGGCACTTGATGAAATACTACCAGGCAGTTGAGCCAAACAGCTTTGTGGTGAGAGAGCTATGGTGTATCAGCTAGCTCCTGCTGCATAACAAACCACTACAAACCTATTGGCTCAGAATAACAAGCATTTATGGAGCTCAGGAGTGTGTATACAAGCTGGGTGCTTCTGCTGACGTGGGGTGGGTTTGGTTGATCTTGGATGGATGTACTCCTGCATCTGCAATCAGCTTGTGGATTGGCTGGGGGATGGCTGGCTTAGCATGGTCTCAGGGGAGTTGACTCATTTCTGTTTCATGTGGTGTCATTTGACTGCAAGGCCAGCTCAGATAGGTCTTCATGAGTGGAAATGAATGTTGAAGGAGAGGGTGAAAGTACACAAGGTGTTTTGAGGCATAGGTGGGTATATTGACTGTATATTCTCATTTCTGTGTTATTGAAACTCTAGCATTTAGGGCCTTGATCCTGGAGACACCGCCCCTATCAGGGCTAGTTATTCTCCAGAGATAGCAAAGGACTCTCCTGGGAGCACATCTTTGATAGTCAAACCAACCAATCCAGAGCCCACACCCCCAACCTCCTCCTTTATCTAACTCTCACATACCAAGCCAATATTCCCCCTGTCCCATCCTGAATTACCCAGGTCCAGGTAGTGGACATCTAGGGACCACCCTTATGGGTCAAAGCTCAATGAAATTATCCAACCATTCAACCCTAAGTTTACTCAGCAACCTACCCTGCCTTGCTCATTCCTGCCCACGAGAGCCCCAATGAATGCCCTGGACCATTCTATTTCTTCTTCTCCCTCTGTCTCCTGACTTACCCTACTGCTTCCCTGCATGACATGCTATGACTTGAGTTTCCAAGAATCTGCGAGAATAAACATTTTCCTTCACGACAATCATTTCCATATTTGTGTGCCTTGTAAATCTCTGATTAAAACAGATCCCAGGTACATTTTAAAACAGCTGAGAACTGGCACATCACTTTTGTCATGTTTTATAGGTAAAAGCAAGTCACAGGGCCAGCCCAGATTCGAGAGTTGAGGAAATAGACCTCACTGCTTGATGGGAAGAACAGCAAAGTCATATTTCAAAGGACTAGATATAGATACAAATTGAGAAGAATGGTAGATGTTTTCCAACCAATCTTTCACGTTTAACATCCCATTATGCACTATTTATGTTCTTGATAAAAAACTGTCAGGAAACGAAGAACAGAAGGGAAATTCTGCCAACTGAGAAGGAGCACCTATGAAAAACCAACAGCTAACATCATATTTAATGGAGAAAGACTGACTATTCTACCCCTAAAATCAGGAACAAGACAAAGACATCTGCTCTTCCACTTCTACTAAACATTTTACTTAGAGTTCCAACTAGTGAAATACAGAATAAAAAAGAAATTAAATGGATCCATGTTGGGAAGGAATAAATAAAACCTTTTAGTTGGAAACAACACGATATAACTGAGTGAGTTTAGCAAAGTTTAAGGATACAAGGTCTGTATGGAACAATCTATTGTATTTCCAAATACTGATAGTGAAACAATCAGTGATTGAAACAAAAGTTACCATTTAGAACAGCATCAAAAATATAAAATACTTAGAGATAAATCTGAAAAAGGTGTGCAAGACCCATACACTCTCAATTAAAAACATTACTGAGAGAAAGAAGACCCAAATGAATGAAGAGATATATATTGTCCATGGACTGCATGATTTGGTATTGATAAAATGGTCAGTTCTCCCCAGATTGATAACTAGATTCAAGTCAATCCCATCCAAAAGCCCATGAGGCTTTTGATTTACCAGCTGAAATGTACAAAGTCATTAAAAAATTCATATGGAAATGCAAAAAACCTAGAATAGCAAAATAAAAAACTTAGAAAAAGAATAAAAAAAGAATGTAGTTGGCATCATCAAAACAAGGTGGTATTGGCATAAATATGAACAGAAAGGTTTATATGGAACAGAATGGAGGGTTCAGAAATGGACCCAAGCATATAAGAGCAACTGATTTCCGATGCAAGTGCAAAAAGCTTTTTCAACAAATGATGCTGGCACAGTTGGATGTTCATAAGCAAAAACAGAGAGCTTTCATTCACACCTTCCAGGACATAAAAATTTAAACTTACAAATAAACCCTAAAATTATAAAACTTCAGAAGAAAGCAGAGGAGAAAATCTTTGTTACTTTGGATTAGTCAAGTATTTCTTAAATATAATACCAAAAGCATGACTCATAAAAGAAAACATTGATAAATTGGGTTTTATAAAAATTAAAAACTTCTGTTTCCTGAAAGACACTGCTAAGGCAACTAAAATACAAGCCACAGACAGGGAGAATATTCTCAAAGCATGTATCTGATAAAATATTTATAGCTAAGGCATGTAAGTAACTCCCGAAACAAGTCATCAATAAAAACTAGGCAAAAGATTTGAACACGTCACCCAAGAAGATATGTGAATGGTAAATGAGTACATGAAGAGATGTTGGACAGCTTTAGTCCTTAGGAAAATGTACATTAAGAACCACAAGAAGGTACCACTACACATCTGAGGTATCAGGATGGCTAAAATTAAAAAGATCATACCGAGCTCTTCCCAGGATGCGGAGGAACTGGAACTCTCATGAACTGCTGGTGGGAAAATAAAATGGTTTGACAACTTCAGAAGACAGTCTGACAATTTCTTAAAAAGTTAAACATCTACCCTGGAATGTAGCCTTTCCACTTCTTGTTATTTATGAGAAATGTTCATAGCAATGTTAACTACAGTAGACCCAAACTGAAACAACCTGTATGTCCATTCACAGGTAAATGGATGAATGAATTTTGGTATATAAGTAAAACGGGATGCCACTTAGCAATATAATAACTATTGTTATATGCAATGACATGGATGAGTTTCAAAATAGTTGCACTGAAGCTGAAGAGGGAGACCTAAGTATCTAAGGCCATCTCCCCCTTGACTTCCACACTGCATTTCAATAGAAGTAAAGTCTGGCAGACCGGGCGCCACCTTAATCACCTTCCCGTAGATCGCAGGCATGGTGTGGGGGAATCTTTCTGGAAGGCTTTGTTTTTGCTTAAACAAGATCAAACAGCCACCTAAGCCACATACCCCATGTCTACTCCATGGACCAAGACTCTTTCACATGTAATTTCTAAAGCTGTAAACCCAAGACCCTTTCACGTGTAATTTGTAGAGTTGTGAGCCTTTATAAAGGCAGGGCAGGCAGAATAAATCACCCCTTCCCTCCTAGTTCGGCGTCCGAGAGGTCTGTTTCTCATGGCCACTCCTGCTTTAAAGCCACACTTGAAGGGCTATGTTTTGGTATGATTCTAATTACATAAAATTCTAAGAAATGCACGCTGCAGTGACAGAAAGCAGATCCACAGTTATCTGGGGTTGGAGCTGTGGTTGGGGGAAGGCAGGGAGGACAGGAGGGAGGGATGAGAAAGGGGCATATGGAGGCTTTCAGGGTGATGGATGAAGTTATTATCTTGATGTGGTGATGGTTTCAAGGATGTATATTTACATCAAGACATAGCTAATTTTACATTTTAAATACCTGTAGTTTATTTCATGTCAGTTGTAGCTCAAGAAAGTGGTTAAAAATTTCTTATTATTCAGATCTCCTGCTACGGTTCAGGGGGACATTTGTGACAGGAATCAGGTGAACAGGTTGGGGAATAAAGGAGAATTTACCCTATCATCCGTGACCAACCCCATATCAGGGCAGATGGCTCCTTATTCAGGAAGGGTCAGCAAAAAACAAAAGCAAAACAAAACAAAAAAACAAAAGAGAGAAACTTGGCCCAGGGCTCGCTGGATCCTTGGGACAGATAGAGGTCTCAGCTGGGCCCTGCCCTGGGCAGACCTTCCCTGGGAAATTGCATCAGAGAGCTCAAAAGAAAGAGAGGAGCTTGGCTGGAGAGGAATTGTAGAACCTGGGGACAGAAAATCCCTGGAAGGATGACAGTTGTCTTCAAATACATGTGCTGCCATGTGGAAGAAGTAGATGCCCTTAGTGTGGCCTGAAGGAAGGACTTTCCGTCAAAGCTGTCCCAAGATGGAATGGGCTGTGCTGAGAGGTAGTGAGGTTCCCCTCCTTAGGGGTATACAAGCATGAGGTGAGAGAGGAATATTAGTGACGTGCTCAGGCTTTGGCATCAGACAGATCTGGATTTGAGTTGTAACTTGGATGGTTCAGGATAATGGACTTCCCCTCTCTGAGCCTCAGTTTCCTCATTGTAAAGTGGGGTCATAGTACCATTTAACCCACTGGATTATTAGGAGGCTCAAACGACGTCAACCCCATCATTGATCTCAGATGATTAGTGGTGTGTCCTTCCCTCTCCTTGCTCTCCCCCAGGCCTTTCCTCCAGAGATGGTCTCTGTTGCGTCAGAATTTCCCACCTGGCCTTCTTTGCTCAGTAAGCTGTGGCACTGAGGTGGCATTCTGGGTTTCCTGCTAGTGCCACCCACACGCATGTGAGGATGACTGACTCACCCTTCCACGGGCTCCTGGATGCACAGATTCAGTCTTTCTGAGGAGCAGAGACCCCTTTCCAGGAGTGATCTGGGAGCACCTCCTCTGTCCACTGTATGGGGCTGGCTACCTGCCCTCTTGATAATTTTCCCTGGTCTCCAAAATGGACTTTAATTTTAGGCAGAGAGAGAAAAAAAGGCTCATAACCTGCGTGTTGTAAATGTTGCTTCAGGGCTCCTGGCAGAGCTGCCCAGTCAGTTTAATCATTTCTTGGGCTTACTCAAAGGCCTCCTCTGTGAGTGAGTGGCCACTTAGCACTTGTTAATGGATCTAACTTCCACAGACTTTAAGTGTTTTCTTGAAATTGATCTTTCCATGAAAACTATGCTTTGGAGACCCGAAATAACCATCAGAGAGCCTTAAATGAGTTACACTTTATCAAACAAAGAAAAACAATGTGCTTAAAACAGGCGCTGAGGGGGAAATGGAGGGTGGTCTCACATGAGACAGGAGGGCGCTCGGCCACGTGTGCCATGTGTGGTGTGCCTCTCAACGCCTGTCTCGCAAAAAGCACTTGCACTCATGTTCTCCAGGGGACTGTTATGTTCTGGATCACTTTCTCTGCTGTGTAATGTGGCATTTCCTGCTCCTGTCCTTACCCCAGCTCTGCTATTCTCTCCCCACTGGTGGGGGTAGATGGGTGATGGGTTTGCCTGGCGAAGAGAGGGGGTAAAGGGAGGTGGAGGGGGGAGGTGGAGAGGGGAGGTGGAGAGGGGGTCCCATGCTCTCCTTTAATTATGCCCTCCTCTGCTTCCCTGTCCTGGGCCATATGCAGAGCAATGAGCTCCAGAGACCCTGGGCAAAATGGGCTGCAGAAGCCCCAATCTTCACCAGAGATGAGAGAAGGGAGACAAGGCCCCTGCTCACCCATTCCCCACACAAGGGGCTTGAGGAGTGGGCTCAGTTCATCTAAATGCCCAGTTGTCAAATGTTTATTGAGGGCCAGCCTGTGCCTGGCTCTGAGCTGAGACTGCAGATTCAGGAAGGGCTGATGCCCAGGGGACAGGGGTGGGACACCCAAGGTGTCTGCTACAGTCTCTAACAACAAAGTTGTGTATGGGGCAGTTGGGTCTCAGAACCAGCAAACTTGACCCTCCTATGACCAACACAATACAGCCTTGCCTGAGACAAGGGCGTCCCCATGCTGCTGCCATAGCCATTGCCCGCCTCAGCCCAACCCAACCCTGCAGGTGGAGAGTGGGTTTGGGTGGGGATTCTGTGCTGGGACCTGGCCATCAACTCTGCTATGTGCTCAGTGTGGCATTACTGAACTCCATCCACATGGGGACTCAAGTCGACAGGTGAGAGTTGGAACCTAGTGCAGGGGTAGGGGCAGGGGGAAGGCT